TTGCTGAGGGGGCAATTCTGTCTCATCATCCAGGCCTTTGATAAAGATAATAAGCAGTACCAGTCCCAGTATCAAACTCTGAGGAATGCCACTCATAACTAGCTTCTAGTTAAAATCTGAACTGCTGATCACAAGCCTTTGTTCCCAGCAGCCCAGCCACTCTTCACCTATCTTGTAGACCGTTTATCCAATCCACACTTCCCCATCTTTGCTACTGATCACCAAACTGTTTGTCACCTCATCACAGAAGGCAGACAGACTGATCAAGGCATAACGTGCCTCCTGGAAATCTGTGCTGGCTGCCGCCAATCACCTTGTCCTTCGTGGGCCTGGAAGTGACTTCCATGAAGATTGCACCATAACCTCCCTCAGGACTAGGGGCAAATCATGGGACCTCCCCTCATCATGGTCATTGCAACCTTTCAAAGACGGTAAGAATCAGTCTCATGATAATCCAGAGCAGCTCCCTCAGCATCCATGGACACAGCCCATTCAGTTCCAGGGACTTCCGTGCACTGAGTTTACTGAAGTGGTCTCTGACTTCTTCTACCAATGTTAATACTTCTCTCTCCCAAATGCTTCCATTAGGCACAGAGGTTTGACAGGCCTGAGAGCAGATGCTGCTAGGAAAGATCAAGGCAAATAAGGCTTCGACCATCTCAATTTTCTCCAGTTCAGTGTCTTTGATTACAAAGTTTCCTACTCCCTCAGCAGCGGGTTCGTATTTCCCTTTATTGTCCTTTTGTTGCCAAGGTACCAATACAAGCCCTTAGTTTCCTTGCCAGTTCCAACTCCAGTTGAGTTTTGGTCTTCCTAATCGCATCCTTGCACACCAAGTGAGCCCTCCAAATTCCTACTGGGCAGTTTGTTCCCACTACCACCTTCCATACATTTACTCTTTGCATTTGAGCTCTGTCAGTTCAGCCAAACCAGTCTGATGCTGTGTCTTGCTAGAAGAGTTGGAGGTACCCTGTTGACCACTAGAAAACTTTGTTTTGAGAAGGTTGTTCTTCAAAGTCAATCAGCTCTCCTGGACCCTCTGCAACCTGTACAATCCTGCCTGCCTACCAGTTCTTCACACTCCTCCCCTGAAGCCCAGAGTCATTATTCTGCCACCTGCTTTCTCATTTCCCTCAGAATATTTAACTCCACCATCTTGGGGTCACTGGAACCAAGGCTGCCATCACACTTCACATCCCCAATCAGATCTTCATTGTTTGCAAGCAGCAGCTCCAGCAACACACATGCCAGACCAAGCCATCCAGCACCTGTACACCGAAAGCATCCCTAACACACTCCAGCAATCTCCTTGCCTGCAACTGGAAGACTTATTCCAGGTCTTTAAGGAAGATTTCATCCACCTTTTTTTTTTGGATCCTCCTTCTCTATCGTTCTCCCACTACTCTTCAGGCTTTGGCCTCCATTCTGCAAGGTACCAAGTTCAAAGTCCTCCTCTCTAGACTCGCAAGTCTGCTCTTACCTCACTTCTTCAGGAGGGTGAGAAGAGGCAGCCAGAACTAGAGGGGAAAAGACTGTCCATTACGAGAGCAGCAAGAGTTATGCCAAACTGAACTAAATACAAAACTGAAGCATAATTAACATCTTGATGACTCCTCTAGCCAGGCACTTCTGTGCTTCCTATGAAAAATCCCTTCAGCCATCGGAACATTGTTAAATCTTTGTATATTCTTCTAAAAAAAGGAAGAACACTTCCATGTGACCAAATTCTCTGAAATGAGTTTGAACATAATTGAGTCAAAATCAACAGAATATTCTGAGGAGTAATCATCTCTTGCGGGTACTGATCACAACCCTGTGGAATCTGACATTTCTTAACCTAAGAGTCTGAAGGAGTCAGGTATCAAGTATCAATATCAAGACACAAATCTTAGAGCACTCTGCCACAAACACAGCACTGCAGAAACTCTGAAAGATGCTTAGCACAGATACATTGATCCACAAGTCAGAATGCATAGAAGCTCCTTGAAGAAAATATGAATTTTGTTTAAAAATATTTAGAAAACACGAAGGGAAGCGTAAGTTGAAAATATTAGCCACCTTAATACTACATGTGCTCCATCTGTTCAAATCCTGTGTTAAAACAACAAATCCTGGTTTTTAAGCTGATACCAGATGCCATTTACCAGATGCTAAAAAACAAGACAGCGTGTTCTTAATTCAAATTATCTCAATACACATATAATCTCAATGATACTCTAAATTAAATTAGTCCATAGCTTCTTTTCAATTGAAAAGGCACGGCAGTAACCTTTCTCAGAAGACAGTCTATTTTCCTAATAATTTTCTTTTTGTCACAAGTGTACAAAGGTTGAATTGAATAGCATGGTATGCCCTCTTTAGCTCCTGCCCCTCCAAAAGTATAAGAGAAACTATCACACTTTACAATACTTTCACAAATGAAACACCGAAAATCTCATCACTTGAAGCCCTGAATATTTCAATGGATAGAACAGTGGAAAATGTACTTACCATACGGGAAGAAGTTGAAGGAGCAACCTGACACTTCTCATCATTTATGGACTATTTTTGCGTCTGCACGGGGTTCTAAATAATTGACTTTTTATGGCAGTCAATGTTATCCGTACACTTAAATTTGAAACCTTTTTTTTGTGTGATGATTTCATAAAGTATTAACCAAATACTGTAATTCTTCCCAACACAGATGATGGCTTGTTTAAAAAGTATGAAAAACTGATTTATTCTTTTTCTTTACTGTTTCTACCATATACCCAATTATATTTTAAAAATAAAAATAGAGCTTTGACCTCCCTACACTGAAAACATTTTTATGAACTTTTCTTTGGTTACTTAGGAAGACTGAATCTCTCGTAAATTCTAAGCATGAGAACTCATTTTTCCATTTTATTGCATTGATAGAAACAAATATTGGTTTCTATTTATTTCTAATAAACTAAATAATATATCCCTTCCCTTTTAAATAACATTTATTTATAAAATTTTATTTATAGCAAAATGATCCAAACTGTGTTCTCTGAAATCTACATTCCTCTCACATACTGTCACAGAAAGCTAGCCAAAGAGCTCACGGAATAGAGCTCAGAGTAGCTTGAAGATGGTAGACACCTAAGAGATCACCTCATCTTCCCATACAAAAGACCTTTGCAAAAATACCTTCTCTAGTAAGGAATACAAGCAAAAACATAGCTAGTATTTTTGCAAACAAATAGATTTTATCTCTTGCCTGCATTTAGATTGAATTCTGAAGCAAAACAAAGCTTACAGAGTTAAGCTGTCTATCAGTCTTTCTGAAATAAACTTTGCTTGCCAGCTTCAAATTACTCTGGCAGAAGGACAGATGTCTCAGAAATATAAACGTTTTCAAAATTTCCTGAAAATTAAAGTTAGTAGAAGTGAGACAAGAATTTTTTTTTTTTTTTACTGGCTGAAATCTAAATGAGATGAGGATGAGAAAGACTGACTGCAGTTGGGACATAAAATCTAAAATACAATTTATAAGTTTCTTCAATAATGTTTATACACATGCACACTTCCTTGCCTTACATTACAGTAGTTTGAGTTCTGGTTACAAAGAAAACACTCCTAAAAAATCTCAGAAACACAGAAACTAACAATTGCACTGAATTTAACAGAAAAAATTCATGAACTGTCCTACCAGTTTTTTTAGGTACTGACTTACATGTCAGCCACGATCATTTTGGTAGCAAAATTCACTTTAAATACAGAACAGAGTGGATGTTAACAGTGTTGCTCAGCAACAAAAATGAATGAGGATGTATTTTTACACCCTGATAAAACTATTACAGCTATGCATTCAATTCCAGCATAAGAATTCAACTATGCTATCAAAGAATATTTACATCTTTCTAAAACAGAGAAACTGTCTGAGTGAGCTCTGGTTAAATATTGACATTTTTGCATAAGTGAAATACTTTTTGAAACGCTGCCTGGGGAACACGGTCGGAGCCAGGCACTAGGAAACTCATTTATATTTCAAGTCTTGCCTTTGAATAACCATGTACAGCTTTATGCAGTTTTAATAATTAGTAATGAAGAACCATTTCAGTTCACTAGATAAAAGTACAATTAAAAGTACAAAAAGGCATCTCTAAAGATAAATCATGATTTTATTGCCACTCTTCTTTCACTTCATGCCACCTACAATCACGCCGATTTCAGCGTGATTTGAGTGAAAAAGACAGATCTCCTGAAGGATGCCGCGTATGAACACCCGAGTTGGCGGGCTGCTGGCTGCACACAACTTTTCCCTAATGACAATCATGGAAAAGTGTATTTTTTGGCAGGCCTCGCACAAGAATTTTTATGGAAATTATGAAATTTACAGGAACATAATTCGTTTATTTTAACTAAAACTGAATGTATATGAGATCTTCTTAATGTAATTCCTTATTAACAATAATGACGCAATATTTTATTGCATTTAGAATGATTTGGAGGGGGCTACCTTTAGGATTTTCATGACTAAGTCATCACGGAAGTCCTTTTCAAGCCTTCAAAAGGCTGCCTAAAATTAGTTATATTAATAAATCTGTAAAGATTTGGAGATAAATATTTCTAATATGATTTGATTTGTTCAAATACAATTAAACATATGAAAGCTCTATAAATTGTTTCACGTATTACTTTATGGGTCTGATTCACTAACACAGTGTGAGGAAGAATAGAAAAATTTGACCCTGTAAAACTACTATTCATCAGTCCTCACTACACTTTCCTCAGTTCCCTAAAAGCTGTGAAAAACATACAGGGCTTGAGCAGGCTCAATGACTCGGAGAAAGCCATTACAGTAAAACCCAAACATCATCTAAATAATATAGAGCACAATTAACCTTAAACAGTCTATAATTATGATAAGCTTCATAGTTCTAATTACTTTTCTTTTCAGTAACACTGCTATACACTGAGTTGAATTATAAAATAAAATGTGTCACAGGGCACCTATTTATGTATTTTTAAAGGAAGTACTTATGAAAGGATATAATTTTCCAGCAAATATCCAGCTTGCTGTTAATCTCCAGACCTTTCGCCTGTTGCCTTTCTTCTTCCAGTTGCTTTGCGTCCGCAAACTGTGTCCCATCCGCAGGGGATTCTGGGAAGCTCTCAAAATTGAACTTGTCCACTTGGATAGCCATACTGTAGTGCAAGGAAAAGAAAGAAAGAAGAAGAATTTTCACTGTAACAACTTTAAAGGTATGACTTCTGCAGTAAACTCTGTAGACCACTGTGAAACCAATCACTACGAGATGACAGCAGGTTGGTCTCAGCGGGTTCTATGCTATACAGTAACGACACTATGATTTGCCATATGAGTTACGCTACCAAAAACGGGAGCCAAAGCCTATTCAAGATGGCAAGATAAACAAGGTTCAGCCAACATTTTAATGCCTCAGTGAGCAGTGCACAAGATATTTGTTTTGCAATTGGAACCAGTTGACCTCTCTGTGGCTCTACACAGATTCATCTGCTTTTACTCTTGGCACGTAAATACTCCTGGTGTGCTTTATTAATCCAAAGACCTGCAGGAAAGAACAACAAAACTGGGCCAAACCCTGATGCTCTTTAAAAAAGAGCCTGCTAGGTAAAGCATTTCAATAATGCCAACTTAGGTACAACTAAAGTAAAACACCTTGTACAAAAGTGTGTCCTGGAGTGAAAATTAACACACTGATAAAGCAGCGTGCGCTTCATCACTTGTACAAGCAGATTTCCTAAATTTTCCTTTAAAATTTTACTTACAAAACTAGGTAGGAAAGAAAACATTACCACAGTGGTAGGGCCCAAATGCTCATACTTAATTACTTTTCGAAAACTCTTGCAGCCCTCTTAACGCATTTTAATGAATTACAGGCAGTATGAATTTCAATACCATAGGATATTTCATCATTAGCAAACAGTTAAGCAATTGCTTTATTAAATATATGGTGAGACATAAAAGCAAAATAAATTAAAAATGGTATAATGTGTACTAAATACTTGTATCTTAAACTAGAATCACTAATTAAATCTAACATAAAAGGAAATTCAGACTAGCTATCATCACACGAAATGTGGCTACACGTACTATGCCGCCAACACAGTTCTAATTTCTTGAATTGGCTGAAATAGGGCAGCAATTAACGAAGCACAAAAATGCATTGCTTTTGAGATTACTTTGCACTTAGGGAAAACAGAAGACCAAACAACCAGCACTGAAAACCATTCATGGTGGAGAGCAACTACAGCCGAAGAGGAGGTACGGGAAGGGCATTTCACATCATGCGGTGGGGTTACTACTACTCCTTTTCTCTAGTTCCACCTATATCAGAGGGAGACATTTTCCACAGGTGTTCCCAAAAGGAAAACACTGGTCATTGAAGTAAACAAGAAAGTGCTTTAAAATCCCACCAAACTAGAACAGATGTTCCATAATTAGCATTCATTTAAGAAAACGGTGACCCTAACAGAGGAAAAGGAAGCAAGGCAATTACAAGAGCAAGGAATAATCCAGAGTTTCTAAAGTTTGCTGTGGAAAGATAAATTTGAATAGTCTGTTAATGCTTCACCCTGAGCAAAAAGCAACATCTCAGGCGAAGCTCTTAATGTTCCATGACTACCTTCATCATTAAAAGGGACAAATAGCGCACTGAGATGACAGGGTCGCTGTTTCTACAAGCTGCCTCCTCTGCAGACTGCATCTTTGCCTCTGCAGACTGCATCTTTGCTGATCTTCACATTTAACAATCAAAGAAAGCCAGTGGAATTAATCTATCCCTCTCTAAGGGCTGTTTTTGCTTTCATTTTTTTGTTGCTCCAGCAAGAGATCATCAAGAATTCTTTATTGCAAAGACCATCCCGCACAGGGCATATAAAAAAGCTAAAATGAACCATCAAAAGTGCATCGCTGGAACTGCAGGAATCGTGTCAGAAATAAAGAATGCAATGAAAAACACCTAAATATAATCTGTATAGTGGATTAAAAAAAAAAACAGGCAAGAAACAGGTGAGATGACTTTAACATCAGTTCTTACTGGCATATAAATATGACTTCATTTGGCGAATGCCGTTGAGTTTCCTGGGTTTTGTACAGGCAACACATGTGGAAGATGATAGAGACGCAACTGGAACATCACTACCATTTCTACCTTTGTTTCTGAGATTATTCTGTGGTAAAGGACCAGATGCAAACCCATGCTTGAGTTCCAAAATATATACAGTATTGCTTAAAGTCTAACATAAATACTCATCGTTAGTTACCTAAATTCATATTTCAACAACAAATTATTTTCACTTCTGAACACTCAAACACATTCAGAACCCATCTTCCAGCAGACCTGGTAAATCGCTCATTTATTTAGCGTGCCACACTCTTCTCAGTGAATGATACATTCTAGCCTAACAACATTTAACGTTTAATTGAAGGTATTCACACTGCATTCTTCCTTTAATGGATCATTACTGGCAATATGGTAAATTTTTTCTGCACTGGAAATTAAATATGCATGCAAGCACTTTTTCCCAATAGTCCACAACAGATCCACATCAGCTTCAAGGAACGCAGTTAGATTTTTTTCTTGAAAACTGCTCATTCATGGTATACCTCTGTTTGAAATAACTTTTAATAAGCTCAAAGGTAAGGAAGAGTTAAGTAAATAGTGCTCCTTGGTAGCTCTGCCCCTTCCTTCATCTACTGGTCAGAACTTCTACTCATTTTCCAATTTTTCTAATCTTCTTTTATTTTTATATGGTGTAGACTGTACTTAGCCCAGCGACACCTCATACTACATGAAAAGATATATATATATATATATATATACATATATATATATATATATATATAAAAGTAAAATTCCCAACAGCATATTTGTCTGCTAGAAAGTGAAGAGGTCTGCAAAAAAAAAAAAGAACTATGGAGAGAAAAACACCACACAGCACAACTAGTAACACAATCTTACAAATACAGTTGTAGGCAGAAGGTGGGGAAGTAAGTGAGAAATATCAAATTTTACAAGACTACAGTTACGCTCAAGGTAAAGCGGAGTAAAATTAAATTTTAGCTCTTAAACATATATGCCTTTCACACTCAGTGTTCTGCTGCTGCTGCTAAAAATGTATTCATTTGAGTTTTGTCTCTGTTTTGTGTCAATAATGTTTCTTCAGGATTTATTCCTCAGCCTCTGCAACGTGCAGTAAATTGGAAGGCTTCCCACAAAAATCACAACAAAAAATAAGCACGTTAACCTAAGCCAGGCACTCATCACTACTAATTTACACCTATACCAGCACAGCTGCTTCACTTCGCTTTCAGTATGATGATTTCTCCCATCTCAAAAGATGCATTTGCCAGCGAGGGATTAACCAGCGGATGAACGAATGCCCGAAACTGGCTGACTCAAAGAGAAAAGAGATGAGCCGGACATTGGCTTACAACTGCTACACAGAAAAGGATTTTTCAAATTTCAAGTGACCCACAGAGATCATGCAGGCGTTCTCCTAAAAAGAAAGAGAAGACAGTGAAAGGCGATACCTGGACCATCGCCCAACTTAAAACCCAAGAGCTGAAACGTACACTGGCTTCAGGAAAAGGGACTAGAATTTCTTTTTAACCCACTTTTACCTTGCAGGTAGCTCTCCAGATTTCCTCCAAGGAGAGTTCTAAACAAATCATGAGATATTTGTACAAAACCACTGCATCGCGTAAAAATGTTTAATAGCCAACGCTGCAAACGGAAAACAGGTTTTGTTTCTCTCTGGCTAACCCAGCTTGTGCAGGAGCAGGGATAAAGCGGCACGAGTTTTCACGAATAATGAAACAATCGTGTTTTGAAACTACTGGGTTTTGTCAGGAAACAAGGCCGAGCCACTGCGACAGCTACTCAGGCAACTGAATATCGTTACAGGGATGCAAATTATTCAAAGACAAATTAACTGAACGAAAAGGTCAGCTCACTGGCGATGCCGATGGTATGTCTGCACGGTACCGCCTCACGTCCCCTCTCGGGATGACTTACGGGGGGGAACCCAAATCTTCCATGGGTGGAGCAGGCATTTCAACGACAGTTATCTAAAGCGTTGCTAAAGGAACAAAACAGAATTATTAAAGACACTGGACAGTTCAATTCACTACTTCTGAGAAAATGAGTTACAACTTTACTGGAAATATTATTCTGTGATAATGATAAAACACACAGCAGAAAGGACTTTAAACAGAGAGAAAAAACCTTCCTGTAAATAGGCACCGTGACTAATCCTGAGTGTTTCCTACAACCCTCTTGGCTAAAGCAGCGCCAGCTAAAACTCTGCCACTCCAACGGTTGCCGAGGAGGGGCAAGGAGGAGATGAAAGCAAGAGGTGATGAGTCCCGCGGTCCTGTGAGCTCCTGCCTCTCGCCCCGAGCCCTCGGCGGTGGCGTGAGAAGGGGCAGGTCCCAGGCGCTCCTTGTCCTTCCCGCGCTTTCCACGGCCTCGGTTCCCCTGAGAGCGCACGATGTGAAAAGCAGCGGGACCCGCTCGCCAAACAGGGTTAAAAGCAGACACGGAATGAAAAGGAAAGCAGCAGTCTGCTCATCATAACCCGATTTCATCCTTCGTTGTGGAAATAAAATACTGCAGCTTAGGGTTGAAGAATAAAAATCTAGAGAAGGTCCTTATTCAGTTATCTATACCACGATATGATGTAACAGGGACCCAAAAACCTCTTCCTCGTGGCTAACTACCTATTTAAATACTATCAGCCACGGAGGAGCTGGCGAGCTGTTTGCATAATGAAGCTGAAAGGAGACAGTTTGAGACTTTATTCAATATTATGCTTCCTGCTCTTTCTCCTCTTTTATGAAGGAGACAACAGGGACATAGAAGCAGACCACGTTAATACGACTTATGTTTATGTTTATGAATAGGCCCTGCACAGTCAATGACTTTAAATAAATTTCAGGAGAAGCTAGAAGTGAGGATGATACTCGTTTCCACTTTTAAGGGGTAAAAACTGCACAGAACATTAAAAGGCCTAAAGACAAGCCAACATTAAAAAAAATTCAGCGGATCCTTCCACTGTACAATCTCAGTAAAATCATCTTTCTAACATAATGTTCAAGAATACATAGTTCACCCCAAATATAAGTTATGCAGCTGATATTACCAAAAAAAAAGCACAGCAAT